AATCAAAAAATTGATCAAACATTTGATAAAATAGAACTAAGAAAAAGCCAATTCAAAAATAAATTAAGCAAATTTACTGGTGATAAAAAATATTCACAAGATATAAAAGGATTTCAAACAATTATTTGACAAAAGACTGAACTGAATCCCGATTTTTCATTTAGTGAAATGGACATTGAAATTTGTCATGAATTACTTGGAGAAGGAAAAGGTGTTGCTACTTCCATAATAAAATACTTCCATCAACAAAAAACAAATTCTAGAAGGAAAATGATAGAAGCAATTCAGGAATGGTCAACAAAGAAAAGAAGAAAGAAATTGAGAGAGAAGTTGATGAAGATAATGAAAATGAAGAAAATACAAATAATAACAATATTGATGATAATAAAAATAGTAGTAATAGTGAAAGTTAGATTTTTGTCAGAGTGCCCAAAGAATAGGTAATACTTACAAATGACTTTGGGTCCAAGTATTTCCTCCTATGCAAGTGCTCAGACAATTCTTTAACTTATATTTTTATAAATTATTTATGTATTTTTCTATTATTAATTGAATTAAAGTGTCATTAAATCATTGTATGTAAAAAGTACAAGTCATGTGGCCACTAATTTATCATTGGTCCAAATTATTTATTTATAACAATTACGATCTAAATTAAAAAATTAATTTTACAAATATTTTTAATTCTAAAAAAAATGGCAAGTATTGACGGAATTATAAATGAATTAAATGATGCTAAGAAGAGGTTGGGGAAGGCAGAGGAAGAGTTGAAGGAGTGGAAAGAAAAATGGGGAGGGAGGCTGGACCAGTTGTGGAAAGGAGATAAAGAAATGCGTGAAGGGGAGTTTATTTACTTAAAAAAAAATATGAAGAGTTAACAAAGAAGGTAGATGATTGGGGAAAGCAAGTGCGGAAGTTGCAAGATATGTTAGTTAATTTTGGCAAAGGAGAAGGTAATGAACAAATTGTGTAAAAAAATATACAAAAAATTATTTTCATTCATTTCATTTATTTATTTATTTGAGAGACATCCGTTATACTGTTTGCAATATTAACTGACAAACTTGTTTATTCATCACTATCTATTGACTGGTTTGAAATTTTTTCTTTTCATATTTTTCTACTATACAACATGCATTAGTGGCAACAAACATTCTGATGAAAGGTATGTAATGCAAGTAAAGTATAAAATGATCTAATTTCTTAACTATATAGACAATTATGTTTATTAATTAATTTTGTGTTCTGAATGAAATTTTTTTTATCATTACATTTATAATAATCAGTTTATCATATTTAGTCAATTTATACTGATTTCAATTTCTAATCCAAATCCAATGTTCTTATTAAATTATGTTGCTATTGCAGGTCGAAATTTGACAGTTGATAACCTCAAGCAGAAACTTGAACCATATATTATTAACACAGAAAGCCAACTTCATGAATCACTGCATGGTTCGTGGAATGTATCTTAGATGAAATGAATTAGAAGATTCCTGTCATCAACTTTTAGCAACATTAGGAAATAAATAATCCTCAGAAGAGTGTTATCAGCAATATAAACTGTGAACTATTAATACCTTTGATTTAATGTGTAATAATTGCAAAAATTTAAAAGGAGAAATTAATAAATTAGTCTCTGGCATCAAAATGGTATTTTAAGCAAAAACATTGCACATTCATCTAAACAATTATTAACTGAAATAATTTTAAAACATAATGTAAACAGTTACATATGTTTATATTTATATTAGGTATGTACTGTATACCAGTGTGTAAAATCTGAATTGAAACTTATGTGCACATGCGCACATAAAAATAAGGGGCAAATGTGCGCCAAAAAT